CCACTGCGCAGTGGCGCGCCCGGCTCCGGCCTCGTCACGTGGCCGTCTAGACACCCTGTCGCTTTAAAAAAAAAAAAAAGCGATTGTGTTTCGCAAACAACAGATCGGGTTTCTAAAAGCTATTTCTCCCCCCGCCCCCCCGCCTCCGCCACCCCCTCCCGGGCCTGCAGAGGGGGGACCAACGACGGGGGGGCGAATAAAGGTGGGGAGCAGAGAAGCTCCCAGAATCGACTGAGACCTGGCCGGATCAGAGGAGAAATGGGAAGACCCGAGAGCACCGAGCTGGCTTCGCTGGCGAGTTTTGGAGCGGAACGAGCGGGTCGGTGGCCCAATTTAGACCCAGCCGCGGAGCTTCGCCGCGGCCGTCCCGCGCGCGCTCGCCCTAAGCGCTTCATTCATTCGTTCTGTTTTAAGGGCCCTGGCGGCGGATCCCCTGGCCGCGCAGGAGGGAAGGGGGAGGAGAGCGCTGTCTCCGTCTAAAAGACATTTACACCGGACTGGACTGAGGCCCTGGGAAGTGTGCGCTGGAGGGAACAGCCGGGCCGCCGAGGGCGGGGAGGCGGCGCGAATGTGACCTCAGCGGCGGCCGCGCGCTCCCTCCCGCCCTCTCCCGCTCCGGGCTCGGGTTTCTAGGACTGCCTGGAGAAGTGTGTCTTGTGCACAGCTCTGGAATGCATTTGGCTGGCTGACGAGCTGCGAGGGGCAGCATCCTGGCGGGAGAAGTCGGGGCGGGGGGGGGCGGAGTTGCCCGCCCGCCGCCGGCAGGTTTCCTCCGGAGCCCGGAAGACCTCCGCCACCCCGCCTCCCGGCGCGGGAAGGTTACCTTCGGAGCCGACCTGCCTAGGGCATGCATATGCATACGGGGCCTGCTTCTGCGCCCTCCACGGCCTCGTAGCTTTCAAGGTGCTTAGGGTCAGAGAGTTTATCCCTTAACCCCGGGTTCGGGAGAAGCATAGACCCAGCTGGCAGATTACTGCATGAAAATGGGTGAGGATTGGTAGGGCAAAGGACGAGAACGCGTTTACTTGCTGAAAGCTGATGGTACTGAGAAACATAATGACTTACATACATATATATGCGTCAGTACTAAGGAGGCCACTAGTTGGCATGGTGATCTAACCTCACTTCTTATTCAGTGACATAAGATTTTTTTTAAAGTCGTTTAGAATTGTGAGATCAGGACAATGAAACTCATTGGGGATTTTAATGAATCTTTAGAAAAGACGAAATGTACTATTTTCATTTTCCCAGCTAAATTATACGTTCTTAAAAGGAAAAGGCACAGGGGCCGCCCGGTGGGGTTTGCTGGTTCGGATCCTGGGGGCGCACCAACGCACCACTTGTCAAGTGGTCATGCTGTGGCGGCGTCCCCATATAAAGTGGAGGAAGATGGGCATGGATGTTAGCCCAGGGCCAGTCTTCCTCAGCAAAAAGAGGAGGCTCGGCAGATGTTCGCTCAGGGCCCATCTTCCTCACAAAAAAAAAAAAAATAAAGGAAAAGGCACAGATGAATCTTAGCTTTATAGCTCAGCCCCCTACCCTCCAGCAACTTAAAAGGAGTCTGACATGCAATAGATGCTTAATAAATATTTAGGAATCAACAGAGTTGGATAGGACTTAAAGGAACATTTGGACCACTCCCCCTCCCCCAACCCACCAAAAGCACCTTTGAAGACATAAATGTGAGAGAAAAACAAGAGACATTGGTTACATGATCATCTTCAGGCAAGGGAGCCCTGAAGTTTATTGACCCAGAAGACACTGCAATGCCAAGCAGTGCAGAGAGGTGTGTAGGACAGGGCATTCTAAACATTTACTTTGTAAGGCCACATAGGCTGCAATTGTATAAGATCATAATTTGGTTATAAGTAAAAATGCTGCTTATCAAGAAGGACATTGAAACCTTGTGTGTCTGTGTGAAACTTTCTAAAGATGCAGCCTGCAAAGACCGCAGCTGAGGAGCCCAGGGAAAATGGAGGAGAGGAAGGTTTGGATCCGGGTGAGCCCATCATCCTTGGCAGGGAAAAGCAGAAGAGACAGAATGAGATTTTTGAGGTGTGTGGGAAATGTATAACATACTCCCCTTAGAAAGGCTTAGAAAGAATACCAGACTAGAAGTCAGAAAACCTGATTCTGGGCTGGGGCTCTGCCACTCACGGGTTAAATAACTTGTACTAGTGGTGACCCTCACCACTAGTTGAGCACTTGGCAGGGTTTAAAAGCTTTCTGGGCAAAATTTCCTGCCCTCTCGGGGTCCCCTTCCCTCTCTCTACTCTGGGCCTCACTAGAAGATCTTCAATTTTCAAGAGAGGCTAGGCCAGGCTGCAAAGTGACAGGAAGGACTTAAATAAACAGATTAAGCAAATGTCATAATTCTAATTAAGCTTCTTGGCTAAATGAAGAATCTGGAGACTTGGAAATCTGGCTAGTGGTGCTAACACTCTGTGATGAGAGGACAGAGCACGCACAGGGCAGATAGGTTCAGTAGGTGTTTCAGGAGTTGAATCTGACGTCACAGCTTGTCTGGGTGGAACATGCATATACTTGCACAGATATGCTCCCATATAGTGTAATTGTGGGTATTTTAATTCAGGCGTTACCCCTATGTTGCCCTCTACACACGGTTTTCCTCCTCCATTTTACTACCCTAGGTAGACGATGGGTGGGATGCTGGGCAAGTAGCTACAATGGTTGGTGCTGCTTTATGGCTCCTTGGCATCCCCTGAATCAGTTCACATCCCAAGCCTTCCTGAGAGCCAGCCCCACGCCATCGCATTCTTATTTCTTTCCCTTCCAAGAAAGAAGCTGGGCGGTAAAGGAACTCCCGGCTGGCTGGTGTGCCTAGAAAGGGAGTTCTTTTCCTTTCCACAGGCACACATGAAACCGACAAGCACCCCGTTTCAAACTATTCTGATCCTGCAAAAAAAAAAAAGTTTAGGAGTTCACCAAACTGTTGTGAATGAGTTTGATTCTAATCATTTGCTGGCAGGGAATATGGAATAAAATATCTCATTTGCAGTTGTTTATTTCCTGTTGTGGCTTCTATTTTCATCTTTTAGTCACTTTGGTGATAGTAATCAAACCCTAATCATGGTGCAGCCACAAGTCACAGAGACCAAAATAACTTGCAGCACAGTTACGACAAACAAGGATGGAGTCAGCTAAAGACCTGGCTACTTAATCACTGGCCCCTGGCACCCAGAGGACTGCGGGGGCCGCCACTTGACTGACCACTGGCTGAGCATCTAGAGGAGAGAGGAAGCCGGAGGGAAATTGCTCCAAGGCCCCTGGTCTTGAGCAGTCAGGGGCCCAGGGTGCCTAAGGAAGGAGAGCAGCAGAGCGCAAAGGAAGTGCAGGAGAAGCGGGTGAACCCCTCCACCAACTGCCAGGGGAAGATTGATTTGAAAGAGAAAG